ACACAATTAGAGGCTTCAAATCATCGTGATTATTTTGAATTCATCCCATATGAATGCTTTAAGAATATCAAAGAAATTGGTAAAGGAGGATTTGGAACTGTGTACTCAGCGATATGGGAAGAGGGACCACGATGGGGTTGGAATGAAAAAGAACATAAATGGATACGAACTGGACCAACAAATATAGCGTTAAAACGTTTGAATCAGAAATCCTTAAACAACAAGCATTTAATGCATGAGGTAAGAAAGTGCATTATAAATAAGGGAAGTGACATATATAAGGTAATGTCTTGCGGGAGAAGTCTGCAAAATTTCAAGTATTTATGTCGTGCCCCAAATCACAATCAGTCCAAATCAGAATAAGGTATGAGTAAAGATTAGTACTGGAGACTGATTAGGAACATATCCCGAATTTTATTTGGGAATACAACATATATATAATAAACTATATTATGTTTCAGCAGGGGCTAGTTCAATAATGAGGTGATTTATGTCACTCCCCTTTTATGACCAAATAAAAAATTTGGAACATTCATAATAATTTATTGTTATTTTTTTTAGTTTGAAACGCATTATGCTTGTCGTTATAGTCATCAAATTTTGCATTGTTACGGTATTACCAGGGAAAAATCCACCGGTGCATACATGCTAGTAACCCATTATGCAAAAGGAGGTGAATTACGAAGTTATCTAAATAAAAATTTTATAACAATGAGATGGGAAAAAAAATTGGCAATGTTATATGATATAATTCGTGGCTTGCAATTCATTCATCAAATAAATTTTATTCATCACGATCTCCATCCTGGTAATATACTACTACATAAAGCTGATGATGGTGAGGAATGGACTTTAATAGCAGATTTAGGATTATCTCATTCGACAATCGACCGAAAAATACATCACACAATTTATGGAGTGAAAGCATATATTGCTCCAGAAATTTTACGTGGTGACGAACATACCACTGCAGCAGATATATATAGTTTTGGCATGATACTTTGGTTTATAGCAACCGGAGAAGTGCCATTTTCTGGTAGAATAGATGATGCCCACCTCACACTTGATATTTGTGATGGTATAAGGCCTCAAATTCCAATTGGAATTGCACCCGAATGTTATGTCAATTTAATGGAACGTTGCTGGGATTCGGAACCTGATAAACGCCCAACTGCTCAAGAAATTTACAAGCATATACGGGCTTGGAATGTGTCTACGTATGTGCGAAAGAATAGGGACACATATAGGTTTCTAACGGCTGATATAGAGCTTAATAAACAACGGGAAAAACTTCTACATCCCAAGATCTCATTATTCAAATCAAGTAGCTTATTACATGTCAATCTGCCAAATTTTCTAACAACTATATCTATATCAAAAAGATATGTAGAATCGCATTTATTTAGTCTTGCAATTTCAATAAGTATGTATTAATTTCCCATTTTACAATAAAAATATTTACAATAAAAAATACTTATAATAAAATATTCTTATTAAATAGGTATTCCTTTGGAAAAAAAAAAAGTCAATGGCATATCAGAGAAGACTCGCTCACTAAAAAGAAGAAAATTTCCTTTCTTTTCTTTACAGTATTTTTAATAAATTTTTGCTTTCAAATTTCTTTACAGGACTTTTCATAAAAGTTTAGATTCAATTTTTATTGGAAAAACTTTATTCATTTCTCATAATTCTAAATATACACAAAATGTATTATGAAATAGAAATAGCACGTACTTTTATAATTTTATTTCGTGTTTTTCAAAAAACCTAAAAAACGTACTATTTCATTGTCACAAAAGTTTCAATTTTAAGTAGAATTTAATAACTTTGACATATTAATAAGAGATTAGATTTCAACATGACCCTCACAATCATGACAATTGAAGCAGAAGTCAAGAAGTCATGTTATGCTTTGAATGCTCAGTTGTTATTATTATTATTATCATCGTTATCGACTAATAAAATTAATGTCATTTTTCTCAACCCTTAATACCACTTGTCAGAACTTCCTAAGGACATGCCATCGGGAGACAGAGAAAAAATTTAGATATAACATCCATTTAGAGAAAATTGTATTTGCGAAAGATAAAATACTTCACACTTCATATACTTGGAAGATCGATTTATGGAGGGTAAAAATAATGCGTACATTTAGAAGGGTGCGTTTAGAGAAAAGTCTGACTGTACTTATTCTTTAATAACGGTAATGATAATACATATTACGAACCGGTATCGGGGTACGTTAATGTTCAATATGAGCCCAGATCTTGTAACTTTACGTTTGTTTTGCAAAAGTTTACCTTGAAACTTTATGATGTGTCGTCATCTTTACAATAATTCGAAACTAATAATAATCTAGAAAAATATGCCATGGCATTGCTTATACAAAAATCTGCAAACATTGCATAATTTAGCAGAAATTTATGAGAGTTCATTCAATTAAATTGGATTGATATCCGGTATGTTCATTTATAATAGTATTAAATGATTATTAAATTTTTTATATTTATCACTTATCGCAGTTTAAAATAGAATGAAATGAAATAACAAGAATCTAGAGTCGGATGAATTGGACAAGTGAAAATGAAGAATATGGTAAGTTTACAACGAAAACACAATTAATATCTTCATTTTGAATTCAAGCTAATTGAACATGTATTGTCATTGGTTGGTAAGACCAGGGCTAAAACAATACTAAAAAATTGCAATTTATGCCAAAAGCAAAAAGATGGTTAATTTTCGACTATATTTTTCTATATTTTAGACCGAGATTGCTAACAATCGAACAATGAAGCCACGTGAAAATCTGAGTTAACGTCCAATCATTCTTAAAACAACTGACACATTGTCAATAACTCGAGTTTTTATTAAGCAAATCCAGGCTGATAAGAAAAAAACTTAGCATGCAATTTATGGGTACAACCTCGACCACCCACTTGTAATCTTATTGACCGTGTATACCTATCGACCGCGCAAAGCTAACACATGTAGACTTCACATTGCCCAAATAATTCACTGTAGTTTTAACATGATAAAACAGATATCTAAGTTCATTTGACAAAATCCAATACTAAAAGATGGTTAATTCAAGTAGTTGCGTTTCCATACTTATTTTTGCCTGTACTTTTAGACCACAGGTGAAGTTTATCTTGTTCGACCAGTGTGTAATATTATAGGTCATTCGATACGCGATATGTTACATTTATTAATGCCCATGATATGGATAATGGCATTTAAACTTGATCACAATATTTGATATTTATATATATGTACAGTGTTTGGAAGAATAACTTTTTACATCTCTGTCTTGTAGAAACGTTTATATAATGTCATCGACAACAATAGAACAAGAAACGAAAGAAATTTGTGCTAGTAGAACCAGAAAAATGACGATCTATTCTACACGAGAAATTAGTAAATTTATATAGAAAACACATGATTATTTGAATTCATCCAATATGAACATTTTTCGCATATAAAATAAATCGGTAAAGGAGAGTATGGAACTGCGTACTCAGCAATATGGAACAATCGCTCGAAAGAGAATTAGATGAATTAGAAGTTGACGAAGAAGCAGTAAAGAAAATACACCGACTTTTTCAACAATTTTTTCAACCAAAAAAACTAAGAAAATTATGGTAAAACTCGTGACCAAATACTTGATTTAGATATCAGCAATTTGAATTTAGTAGGTCCTTTTTAAGATGAAGAAGAATATAAATGGACTAGAGTTAACCCAACAAATATAGCGCTAAACATTTGAATCAGAAATCCTTAAAATTAAGCATTTAGGTAAGTGCATACATTATAAATTAAATATTAAATAAAAATTTTGATTATACCATATTTTTGCGAAATAATCTCCACGCATGTTATTTCAAATTAATGCCTCCATTAAGTTTAATTCAGAATAAAATTAGAGATTACGCGTCATTTCGCGAAAATATGATAATAATTTATTATGTGTGGCTAAAACGCATTATAATGTCGTATTATCAGAGAAATATCATACACGCTAATAACTTATTATGCAGATAGTGTATATTTACGAAGTTACCTAAGTAAAGACTTTGAAATGGGAATATAATTGGTGGCTTTTGATTCAAACAACTTTATTCATCTCTAGTAATATATTACAGCACATGGTCGAAGATGACGAGAGATGGACTTTAATATTGAAATTAGGATTATCTCAACAATCGATCAAGAATACATCAGGTAACTTTATAGAGTGAAAGCATATTGTTTACGTGGTGGCGAATATACTTCTGCTGTGAATATGTAGTTTAGGCATAATACACACTTTATGTTTACGACCTAAAATCCTAAGTGGAATTGCTCCCGAATGCTAACGAAATGTTATTAGGATTTTGAATCCTGATCCTGTTAATCATCCAACTACTGAAAATATTTAAAACTTAGAATGTTTTCATGTATAGAAATGATACATATGGATTCAAGCTGTTGATATAACGCTTAAAAACAACGGGAAGAGCTTTTACATCCCAAAACCCAATCATCCAATCAGCTTATTACATGTCAATCTGGCAAACGTTATAATGACAACTATATATCATTATAAATAGAATTTTATTAATTTATCATTCTGTAATCAGAAATACATAATAAAAAATATTTTTATTTAATAGACATTCCTTTGAAAAACCAAGACAAAGAAATTTCGTTCGCTAAAAAAGATAACATTTATTTTTTAAATTTTTTTGCAAAATTTTCATAAAATTCCATTTTCAAACTTTATTAAACAAGCTTTACTTTTTTCTCATCATTCTAAAAATTCACAATTAAATCACAGAAAACATTCACTTTTCTGTAACATTATTTAGATTTTCCAAAATTTAGAAAATGTATTATTACATGTACTTTATTTATATTTGTATCTGTCATAAAAAATCTTAATTGACGTTAATAATTAACAAGACAGTCGAATCAGTAAGATATTATTACTATCGTTATTAAATAAAAACACGCGTTCTATTAACCTAGGTATTACAACTCATATCCTTTTATTTGATAAATAAAAGTGGCTTTAAAAAATTTTTATTCGTGAAAAGAATTAAACAAGTATTCTCAAGAAACTTAAAATGATTATAATTTAATCCTTGTTCAAATGATAAATAAAAAATCATTACCAAATGTAAATGTAACGGTAATGAATGTACCAATTAGGTATCGGCCATAATTTATTATAACGTATATATTCAGCGTTATAACTTTTTACATTTTTTGCAAGTTAATATTTTAATGTCATTATGGTAATAATAAACATATAAATCTAATATCCTCTAAAGGACATGTTTTTCCAATATTTCCACTTGTTGAATTATTAGTGATTCTGGTTCTGCAATGCAAACACAATTGGATATACAGTCACACCTCTCTATAAGAACATGGTTGTTGACAGAAAATCTGATTCTTATAGAGGTGTGACTGTATACAAAAATACATTATATGAATACATGTATTTATATTGCATTATCACACAAGATTATCGCAGTACATATATATATATACAGTTAAACCTCTCTAAGTACACCCTCCCTAAGTGCACGTACTATATAACTCCTCTCTAAATGCACGGTATATTCTGGTCCCAGCTTATAAGAGCTCTATATATTTTGACCTCTATAAATGCACACTTTTTATTTTTTTTACTATGGTCCCAAGGGGGTGCACTTAGGGAGGTGTAACTGTAATTAAATTTAAAATTGTGATGAATTTGTAAAATATATAATTTTATTGGCATAATACTTTATATTATATATATAATTATTTGATATTTTAATCTAATTTCATTTTAATCTATCACAATAAAAATCTATATCGATCAGGAGGAGGTTATTTGAAGAAAAAAAATCAGTTCTTTATTAACTTTGTAGTTTGCGGTTGCTTTTCTGCAGTAGATTAGTCAATCCTCATAGGTCTCGTTAATAAAATAGTTCGTCAGATATTATTAATCGGGAATTTCAAGAAGGTACGAGATTCTGAAGGGGTAGGGTTGAAATTGTTTGTAGATTTTGCTTCACGTATTTTTTTTGGTTCGTGGAGCTTAACCACAATTTGTTTCGTCCCGAGGGTTTTGTTATTCATTGACTGCTTAGCCCGATCAGTCTCCTCAGCAGTGGTATACCTTACAAATCCAAAACCTTTAGATGTGTTGGTTTCTTGATCTCTCATAATTCGAGCACTGATGATTCGACCGTATTCACGGAAATGATTAAAAAGATCTTTACTGGTAATATTTGCATCTAAATTTTTTATAAAAAGATTACACGGATCTACCAAAGGACCCTCAGGCCCGGCTGATTGTGTTGCAGTTTGCGACGTAGTAAATGTTCTTGGAGAGGATTGTAAACGTATCAAAAAAATATATATTAGTATATCTCATTACTGTGTTAAGGTGTCAAGAAAAACCAATCAATCAATTGTAAGAAATATAGATTCTCTGATAGGCAAATCAAAGTTTGTATTAACTTACATTGACTTTCCTTCTCCTTTTGCGTAATGCTGTAGTAATTTGAATATGAATCAAATTCGGTTCATAAATAAAAAGGACGCAAGAATTAATCATATTCCATACCATTTGTGTGGTTAAATTTTTTGAGTCCAAATTTAATTTTTTGTTGTATTTTCCATCATTCATAATAGCTATATCAATATCAAACGTGAGACATTATAAAATAAAACAAATAGTCATTACGTATAATTTAAATATTTAATACATTCGTTTGCTTCGTTTGTTACATATAAACTGACGTTTGTTGATTTGGCATCGATATCAATATCAAATTCGTTAGTCACATATTCTAAAATTTTGTGTAAACAAGTATTTTTAGAATATTAATATTAATAGCAATTTCTTTGTAAATAATGAATTTACCTTCATTTGGAACAAACAACCTAACAGTTGAAGACCCTAAATAAAATATTTGATATATTTAAATCAATCTGAAATATAATTTTGATTGAATATAAAAATAAATATACATACCTGTTTCAGTTGGGATTGATATTAACTTTGGAGTAAAGATTCGACTGATGTAAATTGCATTTTGGTGAATTTGTTGTTTTTTGTTTATATTTGGTCGAATATATTTTTGTAATTTCATCTCCTTGTCAAGTTCCTTCAATTTCTCGCATTCTAATCTAACACACTTTTCAATTTCTTCTTTTGATTTTAGATTTTCTGAAGAACTGTAGTACTGAAAATGCAATGTATTTAGTTTGTAATCGCATCCCTCTTTGATAGAATGAATAAAGGAAAGAAGTTCTCTAGCAATTGGTCTGTTTCCTGGAATAGGATCCCAACATTTTTCAATAATAAATTTGCACCACCCGGGAACATTAATTGGTATCGCAGGTCGTACTCCTGTATATATGTTTATTACAAGATGTATGTCATGACTTTGCTCACCAAACGGTCGTTCACCAGTTACAATTTCGTACATAACCATTCCAAAACTATAAATATCTGCTGCTTTAGTGTATGGCTTTCCATGTAACACCTCTGGACTCATATAAGGCAGTACTCCATAAGTTGTTTCCTTAGATTTTTCTATATTTGTTGGAATGCTAAGTCCAAAATCAGTAATTTGAAGCCGTTGACGCATCATTAATATATTTCCAGGATGAAAGTCACGATGTATGAATTTCTCTATGTGAATGACTTTTAAATTATTGATTGTATGCTTTAAATATTTTAATTTTTCATTCCAAGTTAATGTTTCGTAATGCTTGCACATGTATTTGCGAAGATCCCCATCTTCTGCATAATCCATCACTATCGAATATTCATTTGTAATGAAGTTTTTAGTTATTCCATAATAATTAATAGGCATATTATTATTATAGCATTTAAGCCCAATTTGAATCTATTTTTGAAAAACGTGATCGGATCATATTAGAAACCAAAAACAACTTTCACTTTAGAAAATGCTCATATTTTACCTCGTTTATAAACTCTGGAGTAATTTGCTTTGAATTGTGTATTGATTTCAATACAACTTTTTGTTTAAATTTATTTTCTTTTCGTTTAAATTTATTTTCTTTATGATCCCACTTATTATCATCATATCTATCCAATGGTCCATCCAACCAGGTTGCTTTATAAATTGACCCAAAACCTCCTTTTGTAAGATATTCAACGTTTTTAAATCTTTCAAAAGGAATCCATTCGAATAAGTCATTTTTAACAATTTTGCTGCATACTTTTATTAGATTGTCGATATCTTTATCTCCGCTAGACAATTCAACGTTATAAATTCGTTTGTGATATTTGAAACAG